TGGGACTTACTTGAGCTAACGCCTTGCAAATGTATGGTTTATCTATCACTATTTCAGCCGCGTCCACACTGGCATACTGGGGGTCCTTGCTTTCGACCAATGCATAACTAACCGTGGGATACTTATATAATGTTCCCCAGGATAGTGACTTCGATATTTTTTCCTCTCGAAGCAAATAATCATACTGCTCAACATGTTGAGCAAGTTTGTACATATCTCAAATATTTACCCCCAAAAACTTCTTTTTGTATTCCACGTCTAAGCCGTTTAGGGCAATTCTGATGAATTCAACTTCAGGAAGAGGTACTCGGCACCAATTCCTGGCCGACTTGAACCTTGTTAAGTATTCCATTAGGGATTCGTCGGACGCTTGAGCCATTCTAGCCAACGATGAAACAAACATTTCCATCCCTGGTCAATAGAATTGTTCATGGAATTTCTCGACCAATTCCTCCCAACTCTGGATAGAGTTTGGTGGGAGATTAATGTACCAGGCGGAGGCTGACTCTGTCAGCAAAAAGTTGAACAGTCGTAGTTTATGGAAGTCACTATTGACGTCTCCACATTGCGTCGTGAACCGAGCCACATGTTCTAACGAGGATAAAGATGATTCTCCGGCGAACAGACTGAAATTGGGGATCTTAAAGCCTCTAGGGTATTCGAACCTTTCTACATAAGCTGGGTACGGGTAGATAAACTTTGGGAACTTCGACCCTTTTTTTTAGGGCCGAGTCGATCATTCTTTGGACCTCGGTCATATTGACGAATGCTGCTTCTTCTCCCTGGTTCAGTCTATCAGATCTATTGCCTGATCCGCCTCTTTTCTCTAAGTCAATTGGCTGTAGCCGAGCGGACCTTTTCTCGGCTTGTATTGGAACATTTGTAAAAGAAGGCTGCCGAGGTTAGCCGACATGGCCGTCTTCGAAGGCTTTACTGACCAACAGTTCAAGCATCTTGGTCTGTGTGTCACTATTGCTTCGTATTGCGTCTAGTAAATCAATCATTTTTTGGCTAATTGACTGCTCGACTTGTCGATATTGTTCATCGAGTCGTCTTCGAAGAAACGACCTAGTTGGCGGATCAGAACCCTCCCCACCATCTTCGTCGCAATCTTCCACTATTCCTTCAACAAAAATCCCTGCCGTTTGGTTAAGAATTTATGGGTTACGAGGCTGTCCGTCAAGACAAATTTCCTTATCTCGGCGTGTCGTACTTGTAGCCTCGGGCGGTGCAACAATGATCGGATTTTGCGCCTAAGGCAAATCTTGCCCAAGGCCTTGCACTAGTAAGTCAGTCGTTGACTTTCCCATGATTGTTTTCTTCTTTACGGACCGTGTCTCAATGGTCATGAACTCCGAAGGTCTAGCACAAGGTCCCATTGGGCATGCCAAAATGTTGACCTTAAAAATTACTAAACCTACGTGGCGCACAGGCCGAGTAACTAATAAGCTAACTACGTCCTTCGGTTGAATGCGGGGCGTGCCAACTCGTCGGTCGGGCTAGGCCGAGGAGTAAAATTCGTTGATGTTCCGTTAAGCGCGTTGTTGACTTCTTTATCTTGCAATTGCGACCGAGGAAGGAACATTCTCGGTCTTTGGGTTCTGGAGCGTGAAGACAAGGCTACTAGTTCTGCGAAGTTCACAAATCGTCGGCGCCCGATTTGATCACCGTGATTATATTTGTAAGAGTATAAGCACGTCGAATCGACACCAGACTATACGGACACAAATATTCAAAGGTGATATATATCTTGATGGTGAATGTGGTTCGGCCGTCAGAATGCCAAACACTAAAACTCACTTGTGAGTATCCAATCATAAAATCACTCGACGTCCCGTACACCGAATGTCATAACTCGTAACACCTTACTTCGCCGAGAGGGCTAATAAGATGACCTATGCCAATAAGGATTCGAAAATCCTTCTCGGCTGAGACTTGGATAAGTAACCAGTCGGCCTCGCCGCAGTGCTATTTATCCAAACTGAAGATGCTCCTCGATCGACTGATTCTACGGCAACAGTGTTGTTTATCCAAACTGAAGATGTTCGCCGGTTGCCTCCACAGTGCTGTTTATCCAAACTGAAGGTGTGTCAGCGGGAAAAAGAAAATGAAAAATCTCAAGATGTTTGAGAGGTTTCGCGCAGGGCAATTGTGTGTTGAATTGAAGGTCCCCAATTGTTGCATGATTTCTTATATTTATAGCACCAACTCCTTTTTAAGATCGAATTAAACTCCTACCCGGATTGGGAGTTCTTGTTTCATTCTAACTCTGCTTCGAACAACCCTACTCCCATTAGGACTTTGAACTCACCCCTTTTTGGGGCTTTATTCATTGTCGGTCGAGAATCCTAATTGCACCAGGACTTCCTCGACCCTTTTTGCTTATCTGAACTACTCCTTCTTGCGATACGACTCGACCATCCCTGCTAAATGGCCCAGAATCATCAGGCAGCCCATAGTTTTTTTGACATGGCTTTAGGCCGAGCACAACCCTACACTCGGCCCAACAATATTATTTTAGGCCCAAACATAAACCCACGACATCTATGAATATAAAGAGTAGCGTTATTCGCACACCTCTTTTTACCTCTCAAACACCCTTGTTAATTTTGTTTATTGATCTTCTTCAATTCATTCGATTCGACAGCCGGACATTGAGAGGAGTATGTGAGAGGTAAAAATGGGTTTGTGGATAGCATCACCATAGAAGGAATATATGGCTTTGGGAGAGCTTTTGAGAGAGCTTTTGAGGCATAAAATTGTATACTTGAGAGCACTTTGTGTTTGTGAGTTCTCTTGTATCCGTTGGTAATCAATAAAGCCTTCCATTGTTAGAGAATTGCTCCTATATTAGATGAACTCTAGATTGTATTGTGTTTTGTTTATTGCATCATTGTTTTGGTTTAGTTTACAACATAAAAAATAGGTGGAGTCAGCCTAAACAATTTGGTGCTTACAACAAAACTCACCAAACGCCCTTTTCGTATTCTATAATACCATCCAATTATTTTATACGACAAACGAGACCTAAGTCTTCTAAAAAAACGAGACCTAAGTCACGTAATGAGTAAAAAAGATAAAAAAAGATATCTTCCCCATGCATGGAAGTTTTCCTCCGGGTCATCCCATAACTAGTGAAGATATGATAAAATAGAAAGAAAAAAACAATATAAAAGGTTTCGTATGGTTGTATGTAATCGTGCCAGCAAATTATTCAGCCAACAAAACCATGCTTATTGTTGTAAACTGAAATAGAAAGGAACGAAGTTACCCGAAAAATGTAGAAGCCTTGAGTGGTGAATGATTTTGGGATGAGTTGCAGACTACGTCGCTCTCTTTAAGACGTTTCGCGGCTCTGCCCAAAGTGTGCAAGCAGTTCACAAACACCACATCGTCCCCAGGATAAAACAGCCCAAATCCTTCTTCTTCTGATAAGGTTCTTCCTTGCACAACGGAAGAACCTTTAAACTTACACCCTTTCGATATGTTACTATTAAATCAATATGTAAAACTATTTTTTCTTTCTCTCTTAGCCTCTTTTCATCTGCATAACTTGTATCTTTCTATCTTTTTATATATATGTTGGTGTGTGTGTATAGATAAATACATATTATATTAACAAATACGTTGAGATTGCAATCTGTAATGAATCAAAGCAATTGAAATCAAAACCGCAAGGAATAATGGCAATTGAAATCAAAATGGATAAAAACCACAACGGGAGAAAACATAAATCAATTCAAACTGAAAATTAAAACTAAAAAGGTTCAATTACATGTTTCATATTTAGGGGAGATAACTCCTTAAGCCAAAATTAATTGACTTTTAATATTGGTAATAAAACAAAAGATAAATATATTTAAATATTTAAATAAAAACATAACTGCTCTAACACTTATGGATGACATAAGCCACTTTCATAGACTTTTTTTTTTAACAAACAATACACGAAGGGGGTGGAGGAGGGGGCTAAGCCTCCCAACAGATTAGCAATAATATGATTCAAATTCGTGTTTGATGAGAATCGAATCTAAAACCTCTCACTTACAAATTAAGATGAATACCACTAGATCGTAGTACTAAATGCCAACCACTTTCATAGACATTGACTGATTGACATGTCTTTAAAAATTAAAATAAAATGAGAAACTAGTCCTGATTGTATGTAAACATTGTAAGCAAAGTCTTAAATCACTACCTAGCTGGACTTTTTAGTAGATTTTATGTTTTCAAAATCATTCTTATTGTTAAATACGTAATGCTAGGGAGACTAAATTTGTGGACTATATTTGCAAATTAAATGACGTGTTATTAATAAGAAGTAAACAAGTTAATCAACAATTAAGTAATAATCCAATCATCAATTTCCATGTCACTAAATTTGCAAAATTGAGTCTCCCTAACATTAGCTTGATCAAATTAATGAAATTAGTGCACGATTTACTTCCAAAAACTATGAAGCAGCCAAACAATATAGCTACTACTTGAAATGATATAGAATGTCCATCTCAGTCTCATGTTATTTCTAAACTTACCTTTGCTTCTCGTGTATTTTCTATATTTTGTATTTTGATAAAAACGTATCATTTCTTTTGATTGAATTTCTAAAGTTAACACGACGTAGGATGGATAAAATAGCAACCCTTTTATACAGAGCAACTTTCATGAAATAAGGAAATCGTTACCATGACATTTCATGTTAATAATATAATATTATGTATAAGTTTTTGTTCAAATAATCTTTTATACATTGGCATAAAAATCCACAATAACAACTTATCCATGGTGTAAAAGTTATTGTATGTACTTAAACAAAACTCAGGGATGAAAAGAGTACCGCGTACAAACACTTTGAGGGCGACCCATCAAATGTTTGCATTAAATGACATGTCGTCCATCGCAACTACATGCAAAGGCTCCATACTGAAAACAGTAGCTTCCTCCTTTATTATTCTGGTTTCGTTCACAAAGAACCCTCCCTATAAATACCTCCTCCATAGAAGTCAATCTGCATCACTCATAAAAAAATAAACCACTTCAGCTCTACTACTTAACACAATGTCTATCGAGAAGAACAGATATACATCGAAGAAAGCCGAGGATCGAGGTTTGCTGATGCTGAGGCTGGTAATCGGGAAGCTAGTGCACAAGAGTCTCTCGATCTTAGCATCTAGAGGCCCTCTCGATCACCATCGTCGTCACAATGATTTCCACGAAGAATCCGAAGTGACGACGGTGGTGCCAGGAGACGTTAAAGAAGGACACTTTGCAGTTTTTGCTGTCAAGGGGGATGAAGCAGAGAGGTTTGTGGTTAAATTGGAGTGGTTGAGTAACCCTGAAATTTTGAGGTTACTGGAAGAGGCCAAGGAAGAGTATGGATTTGATCAGAAGGGTGCTCTTGCAGATCCTTGCAGGCCTGAGGAATTGCGTAAGATTTTACAAAACTGCAGGAGGAATAAGAGGAGTAGTAGAACATGTATTAATATTAATTTTACAGTTATACAAGGATATTAGGTAGCAACTCAAATGAAACAAATTTTCATGTAATTTTCAAAGTACGTAATTATTCATGCATTATCTTTCTTTTTGTGTTCTTTTGCACGGTGTGTAGAACAAACTTCTACACGGAAATAAGAAAATTCAATCAATCTTATGTGATGATTTCTTCTGAGGCTAGTAGGGTGGGTTGACTAGGTTACGGGTAAGGAGTAAGTTTAGTCAAGAGTTTTTTCTTCTCTTTTTTTTTAACAAACGATCTTAACTATATTAAGAGAGTGAGGAATGGATTTAACCTTACAATGGATAATTCAAATTCATCTTTTGCGAGAATCAAATCTAAGACATCTCATTTATAAATGAAAATGAATACTAATAGACCGTAGTACTAAGTGGCAAGTTAAATCAAGAATTCCATTCTCTTTCTTTGTGACAAAAAAAGGGTACTGCCATGTGGTTAGGGTGACTTAGAAAATAAGTCAGGAATTATGGGTCTTGTTAATTAAGAGTTTGATACTCCGGTTTTAACTTGTAACAAACCAAACGTGTACTACCAGGTTATTGTTATTAATTCTCCAACGCACAATGCGAGCAAGTCAAACGCTCTGTGCGTAGCATTCGGATGGTCACTGGAAATTCGAACAATGATTCGACAGCACCCGGATTGGAGTGTTCTTGATGGTAAATACAAATTTGTACTTGAGAAACGTACTGGACTTATTTATGCCGTGTTTGGCCAGGTATACCAACAAGTTGGGTGCTTTTCTTCTTCCTTTTCGTTTTATATTATTAATTCGGACTCGTTTCCGTATTTATAGGATATATTATACGAATGTAACTTCCTGTTGTAATTACTGTAGGGATCCTACCTTAATAGAGATTGCATATAACCATATATATATATATATATATATATATATATATATATTGTTATATTGTTATATTTTCCACTTTCAAATAAGAAGTCATAATTCTATTCAATTGTCTAGGTTTTAAATTTTTAAATCAAATTTCAAATCATATGACGTGATTGTAAATGATTGGATTATTAATTAAGTGTTGATTAACGTGCTTATTTCTTATTGGTGACACATCATTTAGTTTGCAAATTTAGTCTAAAAATTTGATCTCCCTAGCATTATCTTTTCTCTCTAAATGCTAGGGTTTCTTCTCACTTTCTTCTCACGTCCACAACAAACCAACAACAAAACTTTGTTTAAAAAAAAAAAAAAAAAAAAAAAAAAACCACAACGCTTCCAGCACTTTGTTCTCTTATTTAGGTTTTGGTCCTAGATTATCTCTAAAGTTAATTGCCTCCATCACCAGCCGCCTTTTCCCACTGCACCTCAGCCTTTTACTGTCGCCGGCCCGCTTCTGAAGTCTTTTTCCCACCAACTTCAGCAGGCCACTTCCGCAACCTTTTCTCAGCCCAACTCGCTCTTTCATACCCTTGTAAAGATGGGTATATTTTTGTCTTCCACCTCTTCTGCCGTCCCTCAAGTTTAGAACAGTTTCATTGTGAAAAGACTCTCTATGGCAATAGGTAATTGAATTTTCTCAAGTGAATGGTAACTATCATTAATGAACAGTAATTATATTTTGCATCTCCACCTCTTAAACTAAATAGCCATTGCAATAGGTAATAAAATATTATTATTTTTTATTTTATAAAAAAAATTATTTTAAATTTCGAATAGAATTTTTAACCGATCTCATTATGCCACGTGTCATTATTTGAAAGTACAATTTTTGTAAATAGATTTCGATAACATTTTTAACTAATTCAGTCGTGTGACATGTCCTTACTTGTTTAGAATCGTTGAATATATTGAAGGGAAATTTTATTTAAACCCATGTTACCTATTTTTACACCCAACTTACTCTTTGCACCTACTTGATTTTTTACTAAACTATTAATATATATTTAAATCCAAATTTATTACCTAATATACCCCTATAAATCCAATTCAATATGTGAATTTATTTTTACACCCATTTGATTGTTAACTCATCTTTATGCCGTCTAGAAATGGACAGTAAGAATTAGGGTATGAATTCAGCCATGGCTGACAAATTTCCCCATCATAACCTCAAGGTAGTAGAAGTAGTAGGGTAGCGTGGTCGAAGAAATGTTGTTGAACATGTCATGTATTTGATTGAGAATGTTGTCGGACTCCAATTAAGCGGTGTGTTACTCATTTTACTGGAGTGAATGGAACACAGTACGTTGTGCAAAACTTGCGTTTCTTTCCAGTTACACGTCCTGTTACAAACCTGGAGTTACGTTGCAGCGTATAGTAATCATGTTTTTATAAAGAAGGTAGTCGCGTTCAGCAAATATAATGATACAGATGCTGCTGGTTGATTTTCTTTTTTGCCAAGAGCAGCATGTGTTTTGCATTTGGTTGAATCTGGTTCCCCAGTTCATTCAGGAATTGACACATAGGGCCCAAAGAATATGAAGCGAGAAATAATTACTGAGAATTTACAGACTGAAATTTATTGATTTGGAATAAATAATGGATAACTCTGTGAAGATTGAAAACAACTAATGGAATATGTTCTGCTAACTCCACAAATGAAATTGTATGACGAAAGATGGCATACAAGTAACAGAAGCGCCACCTACAAAGTTACAATTTTTCTTCCATGTTGAACTACAGGCTTGATCCGTCAGAGAACATATTTGCAATATCTGCAAGTCTTTTTGGTTTTTTTGGGTGCAAATGGACAGTGGGAGAGCGACTGTAGTAATTTACTGTTACAGAAAAATAAACAAACTATATGGGATTGATTGAAAAAAAAATTAAAATCAAAATACGCATCTTCTAAACTCTAAAAAAATTGAAATCAAACGAACAAAAAATTCATAAATTGAGTCATACCTTAGTTGGAGGATTCAAAACTTCAAATCATCATCCATCAATAAAAACAAATTGTTTTTCTCTATGAGAACTATTAGGGTTTTAGCCGAAATGAATGTAGGATAAACAAAAAGTGATCGCATGGTTTAATTGGGTTTATTGATAAATTTGAGTTTTATTATTAATTTCATTTTGTACTTAATAGTAATTATGCAATAGGGTAAAATAGACAATTAACATTTAAAATTTAAATTGGGTGTAGAAATAGGTTACATGGGTTTAAATAAAATTTCCCTATATTGAAATGTGGTGTAATGACACACCCCGACCGAGATCCGGGCATGCTGGCCATCACACGGAGGTGACGTAACCATGTGCACAGTGCGGAAGCTAATAAAATAGTAATAGAAGAAGTACAAATAAATAAAAGCTAGTTTACATAGAGTAATAAAAACAAGTGCTAGCGTAAGTGAGACATAAGTTCAGAGCAGAAAGCCTAAAGCAGTCCAAACTAAAATGACGCTACAACCGTACGCCCGAAGGTGGACCTACGCTGGTGATCGTCTGTCAGAAATGCCGGGAAAGCCCTCTGGGAAACCACCAAAACCATTAAACAGCTAGAACCTGGAGGGGCGCAAAACAAAAGTGTGAGTGGGCAAAAACAAAGCTTTTCAAAAACCATTTAGCAAAATAAGTTCTAACCCCTCGCCGTAAAACCTGTATACTTCCCAGAAAATAAACATATGCACGTATAAATATATATGTCAACCATGCACAAGAATATGCCATGCCAGGAACTCAGAATGGAATACAGGTGCTCAGGTATAAACCATATCAATAACACATAACTGGCAACCGGAGTCACCTAAAGTGACCTGTACGGCTGAATCTAGAGCTCAATTCTCAATCACAATAACTAAACCTGCCCACGAGTCGGAACCACCTAAAGTGGTCTGTACGACAGGCCTGGGTGTAATACATATAAATGCTCTAGTGCTACGATCACGTGAAGGCTATGCGAATAATCGCGGGTCACCTATGAGTCGGAACCACCTAAAGTGGTCTGTACAACAAGACTGTGCACCTAACTTGGATCCAAGCTGAGCATGTGGTGCGGGAGGTGAACAACACGTGAAGGACTGTGCCCTATTCTGGGCGGGAGCACTAACACCGAGGGTGCAGGTTATGAGCTCTCTAAGCATCTCTAATCACTATTGAATGCAGATATTAAATAACGCTTACCTGTCACTTACCTGTGCGTCCACAACACCAAATATGCATATGAATATAAATATATACTCCTAGTAATGCAACTAATAATGCATAAAAGACGACAATATAATGCATGGCATATAACTAATAAACATTTAAATTAATTTCTGGGAAAATATAAGTATATAGGTATATATAGAAAACCAAAGACCCACTCACTGATAAGTGGAAGGGTCGTAGCCCCCCTGCCTCGAGTGACCACGCTCGTCCTCGGGATACGTCTCACCTATATGCGAAAATACTATAAAAACGTTAATTTTAAAGCACATAACCTTCCTTTCGTAATAACTTCTCATACATTGCTCAAATTGGACAATTGAATATACCAACGTGCTCTACACAACCTCAGGATCACACCCAAATTTTTAGAAAAATTTTCCACCGCCGCACGCGCCCCCACGCGCCGGCCACACGCAGGCACGTGCCTGGCACGCTGACGGCGTCAACTGACGCCGTTAGGAATATTCCGTTAGTTCTAACGGATTCCGTCAACGGCGTCAGGAATATTCCGTCAAACTTGACGGAATATTCCGTCTCCTTCCCCGGCGAGACTCCGGCGACGTTGCCGGCGCCGGAAAACTGGAAAAATTTCAAACGTTGATATCTCGTTCGTTTTTCGTCCAAATTTCATGAAATTACTACCAAATTGAAGCTTAGACCTAGGAGAACACAAATATACCACTTTTAAGGGTTAAAAACCACGAGATCTCACATGTCCACACAATCCAATTCCGGCCAACTTCGAATACGGTGATCCCGACGTCCGATTCCTTCAAACGAACCACTCCGAGACTCCTTGGGACCTCACCAAGCTACCTACAAGCTTCATTTTCCCTAAAACGTGAGAAATTACGTTTGCATGAATAGTACCCCAAATCGGACTTCGTGGAATCGACGTGAAAACGTTGATATTCTTACCTGAAATGGTACGGTTGGGTTCCTACAAGCTCCACGAGTTCGAATATGGGTTTAGTTTCTTCGATCTGTGGGTGTTTAGTGTGCTTGTGTGTGTGTCCGTACGTTTATGGTGAAAGGGAAGGGAAATGGGGCTCGGGGAAATCACAGGGAAAGGAACAGGGACAGGTGGGAAATGTGGGAGTGTGTGTGTGGCTCCACACATGCCAACAAAGCTCACAACGACAATTAAACGTAAAGAAATCAAACTAGGGGCAATTTCGTCTTTTCACACGTACGTTAAAATATTTTTGGGACGGGCTGTCACATGTAAGGTGAGAGAAATGGTAAGGTATTTATTGTAAAAAAAAATATATTTTCTCAATTTTGAATTTTGAATTTTTTTAATTAATTAACTTAATTAATCTGGACCATTGGATTACAAAAAATTTGAAATTCAACAGTCCAGAATGTGACACATGGCACACCGTAGCATTTCTGGTTTTTTTTTCTTCTTTTTTAAAATTTTTTAAAGCTAAAAAATGTGGATCGTTTTTCACATCCCGCCCCGGGGCGAATCACTTCCCAGGCCCGCTCCACCACCGTAGCACGATATTGTCCTCTTTGGGCTTACCATTCCCTCATGATTTTGTTTTTGGGAACTCACGAGCAACTTCCTAGTTGGTCACTCATCATGGGATTGCTCGAGCCCTTTCTCGCTTAACTTTGGAGTTCCTATGGAACCCAAAGTAAGTGAGCTCCCAAAAGGCCTCGTGCTACGTAAGGATGGGAATATACATATAAAGATCACTCCCTTGGGCGATGTGGGATGTCACATCGTTGGTCTGGAAATCAAATGGTCTAGATTCAACGGTAATTGAGTGTGGTTGACACATGGGTCCCTTTGTCTGAAAATGTGTCGAAGACGCGCTCCCATGCATGCTTGTTGGCGACGTGCCTGACATAATTTTTTCTAGAACGTGGTTGATGTTAGCCTTGCATCACTCCTCCCTTAGGCACTCGGCCCTTGGACTTCCGTCTGACCTCTCCTATAAGCTCCCCTTCAACCCAATCGCTCGAATAGGCTAGCGCCATTTTGTAAGGCAATTGGAATGGATTTGCAGCCAATTGATAGGGATATTGCCCATGTTGGAGCTACTCTTATGCCACTATTTCTTCCACCACTTGCGATCAACATTTTGGTCATGCGTCGTCATCTATCATGTCTCGTCTTTGTTTTAGTTTGGGTCCTACTGTTAAGGTTGATAAGTCTTTTTGTACCTTTTTATTCCAATACTAATATCTTTGGTTCTTCCCATTTATATTATTCATTTTGATGTGTGGATGTCTTCGGTTACTTCTGTTAGTGGTTTTCGTTATTATGTATTTTTTATTGATGATTTTTCTCGTTATCTTGGATTTATTGTATATAACGAAAATATGAGGTCTTTGATCATTTTAAAATTTTTGTTGCCATGATCTGTAAGTTGTTTCATGCCATTATTATGGTCATTCAAAGTGACGATGGGACTGAATATTAATCAATCCTTTTCAACCTTTTGTCATGAAAATGGCATTGAACAACAATACTCTTGTCCCCACAACAAAATGGCCTTGCTAAATGACATCGTCAGATTGCCACTCTTATTTGATCTCTTCTCCACACAGTCGGCTTACCCCACACCTTGTGGGTTGAAGCAGCTCTCACTGCCATTCATCTTATTAATCTCCTTCCCACACCCATTTTAGGTTGGACCACTCCTTATCACGTTATGTTTGATCATCCTCCCACTTATTCTTATCTTCATGTCTTTGGTTAACTAGATTTCCTCATCTAGAACCATATGTTGCTTACAAGTTAGAGAGTCGTTCTAAACCTTGTGTCATTCTTGGTTATAGTACTTAACATAAAGATACTGTTATCTTGATTCCTCTACTGGTCATGTCTATGTGTCTTGTCATGTTATTTTTAACGAGTCATCTTTTCTTTACAGTGATCTCATCTTTTACGGAGTACAAGGAACTATCAATTACCAGGGCCACCACACCCAATTGTTGTGCAAGTCCATTCGTCAACCTCGTCACCTGGCCAAGACATCACCTATTCAGCCTCATGCCCCTGAGATCGTCCCACGCGTGTACGAATCTTCGATGCAGGCCATACCTCTGCACAGCCCACGCGCTTCAGCTTCCACTGCCAACACCCACGTTGTTCCAAGCCCTATTTCACCCCGTGGCCATCCTATGTCACTACAAGATCATCACAAGTCACATGCCACTCACTGGACCCCTCCTAACCAACCCACTATGCCTTTCGACCCGTGCCTCGTCATATCTCACTTGCCAGAAAACAAGGAAATTGTAGCATAAACGACTCAACTCAGGTTGTTCTTCATTGGAATTATTTAAAATAATTTATGTTAAAAGAAAATCTTAATTAATTATTTAAAACAAAGTTTAGAAAAGATTGGTTTTGAAATTTAAAATAATAAAAATGTTGTGGCCTATTTGATTGACAAGGGAATATAGGGGTGCAGCAAAAAGAGAGAGTGGAGAAAGTGTAGGGATTTCTATGTGTATATGAGATGTTGTTATTCCACCCCTCCCCCGCTTCCCACACAATGCCTTATTTATAGTAGTAAAGATGAGAGAAATTATTTGTCATCCAAGTAAATACAATCTTATAGGGAAAGAATAATTAGTATCAAAATCTATCTAGGATTTACACAATCACACTTTAATAGTTTAAGCTTTTTAGCCAAAACGGTCCCTGAAATTTGCATAACTCCTCACTTTGGTCCTTGAGATTTGAAGTCAATAGAATTGGTTCTTGAGTTTGTCCACAATCAATCATTTTAGTCCTCAGGTGAAAAATTATATTAAATAAGGATTAAAATGACAAAATAAACCTCAATTTAATAAACAATAGGCCAAAATGATTTGATAAAAATTGAGGATATTTTTGTCATTTTACCCTTATTTAGGTGTCATGTTTTTAACAAAAAAAAGCAGGGCATCTGTTCAAAACATGGACCATAAAACTGTTTCAGGCCAAAAACTTTTAGGAACTCCTCCCTTAACTAGCAAGCTTATGACCATGTTGAGGATGGTTCGATTTCTCCTCTCGAATACACTGTTTTGCTAGGGTGTATGTGAAGTAATGAGTTGCCTTTGAATCCTTTGTTCATCACAAAAAACTTCAAACTCTTTTAAGCAATATTGACCACCACGATCAGTTCGAAGGGTTTCGATCCTTCTTCCACCCATTCCTTTCTACTGAAGTCATCAATGAAATAAATAGACATATATAGTGGGCTAACCCACGAACCTAGGGGGAATCCTAGGCTAAATTTGCTCCATAAATAAGTTTTGGGATAAAACTCATTTTTGCCCTAAAGGTTGTAGCAAGTTAGGGGAGGTTTAGAACCTAAAATTTAAGTTTTACTCCAAAAGTTGAAATACATCTAAACTATTCGATATTTAAAACATTTTAACCATTAGATATTCAATTGAAACACAAAATTCAAGACTAAAAACCCGAAATATTCACCAATCGGTACTACGGTCTGGTGGGCTAGCCCACAAACCTAAGGGGAATCCTAGGCTAAATTTGCTCCAGAAATGAGATTTGGGTTAAAACTCATATTTTCCATAAGGGTTGGAGCAAGTTAGGGGAGGTTTAGAACCTAAAATTTGAGTTTTACTCCAAGAGTTGAAATAGGTCTAGACTATTCGATATTTCAAACATTTTAACCATTAGATATTCAATTGGAACACAAAATTCAAGATTAAAAACCCGAAATATTCACCACTCAGTACTATGATCTGGTGGTATTCTTTTTTACTTGGAAGTGAGAGGTTTTAGGTTCGAATCTCGTGAATGACGAATTCGATACCAAATTAGATTGTTTATTATGTGCCTAGCCGTACTTCCTCTTCCCTTAGTATAAAAATATCGATATACTAAACAAACAAAAAAACCCTAAATATTCTATTTTCCTGACTACCTTAGAATTTTTTGTCATGGCTTATGAGTAATATGTAATAAAAAATTCCAACTCCCCACTTTAATTTTGAGTACAAATTAGCCGGGACATTTGGGCTTTTGGGCTCGGGAATTCTATGGGCCTATTCTGCCCGTCGAGGCCCAAATATCAATACCCAGAATATATATCTGCTCATTCACATTGTGTTCATCGGAGGTGGAGGATACGAAAGCCCAGAGAGCAACGGAGAGACTGAGAAATGGAGAAGTACTTCGGTAACGCGTATAGAGGAGACCCGGGTGTCCCACATGCCGACCCGGAACGACTTGTGTACATATGGATCGGGTCCACCGCCTCTCAGCCCTCACTTGGGTCAATCCCTACATGTGGCAGCTCTCCAATCATTTCAAGTATGTCACCATTTCTGAATTTGGATGATTACCCACTTTCTGAATTGGTTCCAATTTTTTGTGTCTCTGAATTTATTTTTCCCCCATTTTGAAAAATGGTTCCAGTTGGCATGACAAAGCAATGCTGTTTGAGCAGTACCATTGGAAAAAGGCAATGAAGCTTTAAGGTATGTTTGGTTGGTTGTGTCCTAAATGTTGAAAAAAGCCGAAACCTTGAAGCTTTAAATTGATTCTTGTGAAACCCCATTTGGTAAATTTGTTGGGTTTTGAAGTTTTAGAGCCCTATAAATTAAGGTATGTTTTGTTTTTGGTGTTATTGCAGTGGAACGAATACATGGACAAGGACCAAAGGGAGTCCTACTATTTCAACTGGCCTGTTTACTTCCCTTCGCTGTTTTACGTGTATGTCGAAATGGGCTTGCTCTTGTTTCGAATTACTTAGCTGAAACTCTAGTTGCACGAAGGGTTATAAGGTTTATAATGCTCCTTCATTGTAATCATCTTCTGTTTTGGATCGAATGCTTAAATACGAATTTTATTTTCTGCAAAGGATTAAATTTGAGAAATGATTTCCGCACACCGGGCCTTGCACGCCCCTATTTCTAACCTTGGGATTGAATAGATCGAAGGAATGAAGGAACATAAATAAACAGGGGCGTGCGAAAAACTGGTTTGCAGATATCATTTTACTCGAATTTCTGCTATTGTAACGATAGTTGGAAATTCAAACTGAGGATTTGAGATGCAGATGGTGAGTTGTTTGACAAGCATCCTAACATATTTTATGATTCTAATTCAGACATGATGCTGGCCCTTATAAGATAAAAGTTGCATAAGCTAAAGCAAAACAATCTTGATTACTAGCACATTGCAAGCCTTGGTACATTTTATGAATTGGTAGGTGAGTGGTGGTGGTGGATGGAGGTGGTAGAGGGAGGGGGGATTCAACTTCTTTGTCTTCTGGACAAGTGAATTATGCAAATCTTAAAAGGTTCTTAATTAATGTTTTGATTGGGAAGATTGCCATTTAACCTCAGGCTTCTGTTTGCTTAATGTGCTACTACAAAGGATTTATCTATTTATTTTGTGATTTATTATTATTAAGCTATTACATTAATTTAGGAGAGTGGTGTGTTTCAAACTTAGGATGTATGCGCAGAATAAAAACACATCATCCTATCCATTAAGATATTGAACCGTATGCAAAAACTCATAAACTTTGAATACTTGCAATCACTTACAAATCACATAAATTAAGTAAATATGACGTTTAAATCCAATTATTTTAAATTAAGTGGTCTTCATCTCAAATCTTGTGGACAAGAATTATTAATAAAACAACAAATAAAAAACATTATGTCACTAGGAACCTTCAATTAAATTTTGAGCTACTTAAACTTTCACGATTCTATTAATTCATCACAAACACGATCAACTTTTAGGGGCATATCTTTTTTGGTTTAAAAACAGGGCTAAAAGTAAGAGCTCAAACAAACCTACTCGATAATAAATCTAGATCGGGATATCCCAAGTTGATCCTCACAAATAAAACTAACTAAACAAGGAGTATCAAAATAAAAATGATCTAAATCTAAATCAAGACTATAGGTCGCTAAATTGTCTGTCACAAAATTCTTTTCTATGTAGGCATGTCGAAGTTCACATTGCCAAGATCTTGAAAGCAAATCCTGATAGGCCAATACAAGGGCACCTAAAGGATGATTATGATCAGCAGCTTGCAACACCAAATGAACTGTGACTGCAGAGTCTGATTCCACCAATAATTTTTCAATCCGTAATCTCCGTGCACATTGTAAACCCACGTAAAGTCCCCATAGCTTAGCATTGAGAATCTCACCTGTGCCAAAATTGGCTCAAAACTAAAAATCCATTTACCATTAGAATCTCTCGAAATACCACCTGCTCCAATAGAATTATTACTTCCCTTCTTGCAACCATCAACATTAAGCTTAAACCAACCCAAAGGAGGAACTTCCCAATGGAGCAAAGATTCAATCCTATGTGGTTTATCAATCTTATCTTTGTGAATGGTTGAAGTACAAGATATCGATTCTTTTTCTAGATTAGAAATTTTTAAAGAGGTTTATGGAATTCTATGGGTTCTTGCTCCTATTTTGACTCTTGTAGTGGGAATCACAATAGGCGTACTGGTAATTGTATGGTTAGAAAGAGAAATATCGGCAGGGATACAACAACGTATTGGACCTGAATATGCCGGCCCTTTGGGAGTTCTTCAAGCTCTAGCAGATGGAACAAAACTACTTTTCAAAGAAAATCTTTTTCCATCTAGGGGGGATACTCATTTATTCAGTATTGGGCCATCCATAGCAGTCATATCAATTTTAGTAAGCTATTTAGTAGTTCCTTTTGGATATATCCTTGTTTTAGCGGATCTCAATATCGGTGTTTTTTTATGGATTGCCATTTCCAGTATTGCTCCAATTGGACTTCTTATGGCGGGATACGGGTCAAATAATAAATATTCCTTTTTAGGCGGTCTACGAGCTGCTGCTCAATCTATTAGTTATGAAATACCATTAACTTTATGTGTATTATCAATATCTCTACGTGCGATTTGTTGATACATAGACAGAAACTTTTCTCTACTCCTTCCTTTCAAGGAAAGGGTTGGAATGGATTAAGTAGATGTCTTAATTTTTTTATTTATTCATTATTCGGGTTGATGAACTAAATCAAATAGTTATATGAGTGAAAGAAAACAACTTATATATAAATTCGCAGTAAAAAGATTGATTCTCATTTTCTATGTATAAGAGTTAGAGAGTTAAGCGGAAATAAACATAAACAGAAGAGACCGTTTCCCCTAAGATTGGTTGATTAGTCATCCTGACTTGAAGCGGGTTCAAAAGATCAACCGTATTGAGTTTTCACTATCATTTTTATGTATTAGCATAACAGGGATTGAGCAAAAACGAGTGGATGGTTAGAAACACAAACATATGTAAAGGATTAGTAATGGAGATTATGTAAATTCTCCAAAAGGACATTTTTACATAATATACAAACAAAGAATACTAATTGGGGCTTTAAGTTGGTAGAAATGATGCCTTCAACCATTCACAAAGATAAGTACAAATAGCAATTGTAGGCTCATCACTCATTACAAAATCCTACTAAAAAGGTAAATTTATTTCGCCAATACCAAATAAACCAACAAGCAACGGAAAAAATTAACCTCCACTCTAAACCCCCAATATGAAAGGTTTATTGGTAAGATTAAACTGAAGTCAATCATAAAAATCAATGTGATCTGCCTATTGATTATACATTCCCAACCTTTGCCAAACTTTTCTTGCCTTAGGACAATCTTTGAAAACATGAGCCACGGATTCAATGCCACAAGTACATCTTTGACACTTAGGATCATCAGTCATACCCTTTTTTCAGCCTTTGTTCATTAGTGATGAGCTTATTAAGAGAGAGCAACCATAAGAAACTCTGAAGTTTTGGAGGAATATGAAATTTTCAAATGTGATCCCATCACCAATTAGGAAAACCACTTGAATTAATGGACAACATATAAGCAAATTTAACAGAAAATTTACTATCACTTGTTCCACTCTAGATGCATATCTTATATATATACAACGCGCAACCCCATTTTGGGGTCCCCAGCTTTACCAAAAATAAGGGGACAGAAATGCCCCCCAAACAAAAAAGTTCAAAAGCAGCTTAAAATAATGCAGGGGTAATTTTGTCATGAAAAACATTTTTAGTTTTTTTGTTGTCATAATTTTTATTTTTTTTATTAGTATCTCACTATTATGTGGAATATCCACAGGTTTATTCTAACATGGACTAATATTATTCATTTAGTCTAAATATTTGACTTTCTTTTTCTTGGTTGAATTTATAAGAGCTATGACTTATTATGTAAAGTTGCAATTGTTGTATTAAATCATTATCCAATCAGTTGTTTATTAAATATTATTTTCTCTACTTTTAAACATCTTAAAAGGTGCGTAACGCCAGTGATAAAAGGCCTTTTTCACACTCGTATTGTATCGAATCATCATACAATCAGTTGTTTATTTTATTATAATTAGTATCTCACTATTACGTGGAATATCCACCGAGTTTCTTCTAGCATGGCCCAAGCTGCCAAGAACCTGTAATTTCTCTCTACTTACTACAACCTTTCTTTAAAAAATGCAATATAACATTACAGAATGTATGAAAATCATGAAGCAATTTAAATACCAAATCATCTTGATTTCGTCGAGATATGAACAAGACCCCATTCAAGGACCAATAGTGAAATAACTTTGCGTTTACTTTATGACTGCATCTAACTTCATTGTTAGATTGCTTACGTACCCGACAACAGGATCAAGGCATACGTAGTTCACACTTTCATTAAACTTTGACATTTTAATGCAGTCCCAAATCAATATTTTTCGATGTGCATAAATGATCAATAAATGTGACCTCGCACACCAAATGGTGACGTGCATAAATGATCGATAAATGTGACCTCGCACACAAAATGGTGACCATATTCAAACACCGATTTCCAATTAGCTTAAGCTTAATCATTAGTCAACAATTTAGTGCTCGTTTAGATGTGCTTTTAAAATGACTGAAAACGTTTTTGGTGAAAATATTTTTGGAACCAATCCTTAGTAAAAATGTAAGTAAGTTCTAGAAAAACACTTAAAAGTGCTTCCTGGAAGAAGCACATAATTGATGCTTCTTGCAGAAAACACTTTAAGTGCTTTTGGAGCAAAAGAACATTTTCTCTAAAAGTACTTTCAGTTATTTTAAAAGTACATCCAAATGAGTCCTTATTATTTCTCTTATTTATAAACTCATGTTACCAAACTCGACAATCCACAAAGCTAGTATGTCAATAAAATGCTACATTCACAATTTTAATTAGTAGCCACTTGGAATTCTGATAAATTTAGATATGACACAAAAAAAGATGAACTAAGACTTAACACGTGCATGAAATTCTCAGTCTATTGCAAAAAGGCTTTTTAGGTAAAATGGTTTCTAAGATTTGCATAACTCCTCACTTTGATCCCTGAGATTTGAAATCAATAAAAGTAGTCTCTGAGTTTGTCCATCATCAATCATTTTGGTTATTCCATGAAAAATCTCCATTAAATAAGGCTAAAATGACAAAAACTACCCTAAATTTTTGTCAAATCATTTGGCCCATTATTTATTAAATTTAGGTTATTTTTGTTATTTTGGTTCTTATTTAACATAAATTTTCACTGAAAGACCAAAATAGTAGATAAACTCAGAGATCACTTCTATTGATTTCAAATCTCATAGACCAAAGTGATGAGTTATGCAAATCCCAAGGACCATGCCTTGCAAAAGTGAATTGATGTTAACTCTCAATTTCATGAAATAATTACCAAAAATAATAAAAAAGAAAAAATTGTTTTTATTTTAGATTATTTATTTTTCAAAGGTTTTACAATACTTAGGTACTCACTAGTTAATACCCAAAATACTGACAAAATAAAGTAACCCAATGAGAACAAAACACCTAT